GCCTGCACCCAGAATCACATACAGCACAGGATACAGAGGCTTACACAGCGCCTGCACACAGAATCACATACCGCACAAGATACAGAGGCTTACACTGTGCCTGCACCCAGAATCACATACAGCACAGGATACAGAGGCTTACACAGCGCCTGCACACAGAATCACATACCGCACAAGATACAGAGGCTTACACTGTGCCTGCACCCAGAATCACATACAGCACAGGATACAGAGGCTTACACAGCGCCTGCACACAGAATCACATACCGCACAAGATACAGAGGCTTACACTGTGCCTGCACCCAGAATCACATACAGCACAGGATACAGAGGCTTACACAGCGCCTGCACACAGAATCACATACCGCACAAGATACAGAGGCTTACACTGTGCCTGCACCCAGAATCACATACAGCACAGGATACAGAGGCTTACACAGCGCCTGCACACAGAATCACATACCGCACAAGATACAGAGGCTTACACTGTGCCTGCACCCAGAATCACATACAGCACAGGATACAGAGGCTTACACAGCGCCTGCACACAGAATCACATACCGCACAGGATACAGCACATCCATGAATTAGGGCCCTATGAAATCCGTTTTATGTTTTCCCAAATTCCATTTCATTTTTTTCCTTTTAATTCTTCTAGACTCCGTTTTAACACCTAAATAAAAAATATTAATCAAAAGTTGTCTAATTAATTGAAATCATGAAATTTAACAGCAATTTATTAAGTTTACCAAAAGTGACATTTTAATACCCCATGAAATACTGTTTTTTTTTTTTTTTTTTTCCAAATTAAGTTTTATTTTGAACAAATTCTGTTTTCCATTTTAATGGTTTCATAAAATTTTCTCTTATTAACTGATTTTATTAAACAAAATATATAGTTTATTATTTTATTTATTTTCATAAATACTTTGTGTATTTACATTTTTCTGATAAATACATTCTGGTAAATGTTCCTTATAAAATAATGTTTTAATCATAATTTAATAACTATCATGACGCCTACATTAAGTAATATATTTCTGTCACAGTTTCTTATAATTAAAACAAACTTTTATTTTGATGGGTTGCTGTGAAGACCTTTAAGTTTCTGTTTGTATGTGATATGACCATAGTTTTTCTCAAAAGAAACGGTCAAATGCTCATGAAGTGACTCACAGAGCAGTTCTAGAGATTAATTTTATGTGTTAATGTTAGGGTGACCATACGGACCATTTTTACAGGACACGTCCTTGCCAGAATTTCTATATTGCCTAAAATATCCAGGTTTTGGCTTTTTGTGCTATGCAGATTTTCCGTTGTATGATATTCGTGAGAGCAGAGCAGACGGCTGATTATGCTTTCGAGTCCCTCTCGCTGTACTTTGGTTTTATACAACGATCGTTCGGCGCAGCAACACTTCAAGTCAAACGAATGAGCAAACAAACACACCTAACGTGTTCCTACTTGCATCGCTTTGATCGTTCTCTGTAGATCCCATCTTCTCACGCGCCACGATTGATCGGTTATGTATGATTCCAGGATGTGTCCCGTATAAATTGCACATATGGCCACCCTAGTTAATGTACTCGTATATTGAGACAGCCGAGGCTGAAAACACAGCTTCAGTGTGTGTGTAGTAAACGAAACCGCATGTCTGCACCATTCATTCACTGAGATAAGCAATGCAGGATTCATATTCAAATAGTATTTTTGCGGCTTAAAGGGGTCATATGATGCGATTTCAATTTTTCCTTTCTCTTTGGAGTGTTACAAGCTCTTGGTGCATAAAGAAGGTCTGTAAAGTTGCAAAGACTAAAGTCTCAAATCCAAAGAGATATTCTTTATAAAAGTTAAGAGTCAGCCACGCCTATCTAAACCGGCTCGTTCTAACACGCCCCCACATGTCTACATCACGATGTGGGAAGATTTGCATAACGCCGCCCAAATGTTCACGCAAAGAAAGAAGGCGTAACTTTTATTCTCGCTGTAGTATTGTTGTTGCCGCCGCCATGTCGTGAAGACGCTGTGTGCTTCGTTGTGAAAGCGAAACTACTTTGTTTGGTCTTCCAAAAGAGGACGATACGAAGCCTAAAAAGACAGTATAAGTCATTATAATCAATAATTATGTCCCCACTGGATGCAACAAATGCCTCGTTTATAATAGGTTTTAATGTTTTTGTCTCGTCGCTCCGGCCGGACAGGGCATCAACAGTATGGTGAGGGGCGTAACATTTCCGTCACACGCTTGAGGTATTCGGCCAATCACAACGCACTGGATAGCTGGCCAATCACAGCACACCTCGCTTTT